GTCACACACCGTCAATGAGCTACAGGTATAGTTAAATAAAATGTAAATGGCGCAACCACATGAATCCGAGGAGGCCAGTCCACTCGGGCGACGAACTAATCCCCATTGCAGGCACCTATTTAGGCACATTTGTGTTTGCTCAAGACCCAGAAAACCTACCCGTGGTTTATACTGCAAGTATGCTCAACGGACCTTAGTTACAATATCTTGAAGAGAGAGCGCATTATGTAGCGTTATCAACAGCCTGTACAAGGCTAGCACGCTCAAACCCTCAGTCACGATGACTTTTGACTTTGTGCTAGCACAACCACGAACAATCTAGTTTCACTCAGAAGGTTTGGTGCAACACGTGCTATGTTTTTTTTTTGTTTTTTTTTTCTAATACTTTTCAAAATTCCGCTCACTGGAGTCGCTTCCTCCAGACCGGTAACATAAAGAACTTATTTTCCTGAAAAATCGATCATGGTGAGTTTCGAACCCGGGTTTAACTACTCGGACACGTGCCCATATAAAGTCAAGGGAGTAGTAGGAGGGAACAAAAGAATCAATTTGCCAAATAGGAATTATGAGAATAAAACACTTCATATAATTAACGCAATGTTAATAAAGATGGTGTATAATCTTTGCATGCTTTTGACTGAAGAGAAAGCAGAGATCAGTACGTTTTTAATGCATTTGTCCTTAGTAATTTCTTTTCTCTGACTAACCCGACTTTTTTTTACTTTGCTCGAAATTGTGGTCTGATGTGTAACCGTGACCTAGAAGCGGATTTAATGAGTTGTTATGCAATAGATCGCAGCGGTTTTCCTAACTGCAGCATCATTTAAAAAAAAAAAAAAATTACAGTGAGATTCCTACTTTACAAGGCCCGGGGGTCACTCAAGATAGAGTGTTATGTTAAGAGGCCATTTTTATGTATAGTTGAGGGATATAACGATTAACCCTACCCTAAATAGATTAAGATTGTAGCAAACAGGGCAACATTCTGTTGGGAGTCGATTCCACAGAGCAATGGTTCGCAGGAAGAAGCTGCCCGAGGGGAACTCACTTCTCACCGATGGAGTATGGAGGGAATATGATTTTATTCATTTCGCCTTCCTCAAGGATTATTCCATATCACGCTGAAACACCGGTTCTCCTACGATCATTAATGTTAAGCAACGTCGATCCCAGTCAGTACCTAGATGGGTGACCGTTTGGAAATACCAGGTACTGGAAGCTTGTGAGTGCGGATGATGTAATGGGTAACGGGTCGGTAATGGTCAGTGGCGTCGGGGTTAACGGAGAACCGATTTCCAATTCCAGTCGTGTTCGTTATATTTACTTACGTGCAAATACCTTTGGGAAAGTTATGACTCCACATCTTCGCCTCTAGCTTTGGGTCAGTTAGTAGAACTTGGATTAGTACATCATTATTATCTCCCCCCCCCCACAAATTTTTACAAACTAGAAACTTTCTGGATATGACCGGGAACTATATCCGACAGAAAGGCCTCTGATCGGGAAGTTTTGAGGAGCGTGGAAGCACTTCTTAATTGCTGTTGTTCCCAGGTCCACCCTGACCTGGGGTGGTAGCACCTGTAAGGGTCTTATCTAAGGGCAAATAGATAACCCACAAACTGGACTCAAAACACGAAGAAAGCTTAAATATTTTTATAGTAAAAAAGTTACCAGCAATACATTTTTGTAAAAAATCAAAAAATTGCGTGCAATACATATCTGTAAAGAAAAAATATTATTAACAATACATTTTCCTAGGAGAAATTACTAACGCTCTCCAGAAAATTAAATTTCAGTGTTGTATGACCCATAAGGAGTTGATATGCCGCTAAACAAGCAAACTAAATATTCTGGTTTTGAATAACCTACAAAAGGTTAATAAGTCGTAAAAAATAATAAATTAATCAATCAAACATTACGCTCAGGTGCAAAGATCTACACGATCTCAACAGCCAGACCTGCGGTAGAGGGTAGCGCCGGACGGGGTGGCGTGACGAAGGCGGACCCTGACAGACGAAGCATCCGAACCCCTGATGCAACCAGGTTTGCCAGATCTTGTCTGTTGCAATCCGCTTTGAGCAGCGAAGGAAGCATTTCTGCTCAAGTGTTTTGGGAATCTCCGTCGGGCAGAGTTGTCCACCAAAAGCAAATTTACTCGACACAATTTCTTTGATTCACAGCCATCTCCGCCATTGTCACCGGGAGATAGGTGGTGAGAAAGCAAATTGGGAGAGAGGTCGACGGTCTCGATGCTCGGATGCGAGCTTGTGCCGACGACACTCGGATTCGCCTCACTTTCCGACCCGAGGACGTTCCATAACACGTTGCCTGTAGAAGGTTTTTCTTTTTTTCAATTTGATCTAATTATCCTATTATTCTATATCATATTGGGAATCACCTAAACGTTTTGCGCGCCAGTGTAGATATAAGAGCGATAAGTAATTAATAGAGAACCAACACGGCAATATAGACATGCCTTGTTGAAAACAGATATTTTAATCTGGCTTGGGCAAAGAGCCAGAAAGCATGACATACCAACACTCATACGAACACACAATAAGAGATACAGGCATACATATATGGAGACAGTTGTACAGACACACGACACACATATAGAACAAATATCACATATTCATACATAAGCATGCATACACGCAGAGACACACACAGTGGCGAATAAATTCATTCTAGTCTGTACGTATATACGCACCTAGAGAAGACGTGATCTGATCGGACGTAGAGAATCTAATCACAGCGAAAAACGCCGATCAAACTTACTGGTCGCCATTGTTGAGTGTGAATAAATAAGAAAACAATCAGGACACTATCGCGCCTATCATCATTTTTAATCCTGGGACTTACAAGCTGAAGTCTTTGATCCGTTCCCTGCGTGGGCGGAATGAGTTGTTAGGAGAAAGAAAGAAAAAAAGACGTAGACGTCATTATTGCGATTGCCTCTTCACACCAAAATGGATGCTAATTTGCATACGGAAGACCTCATTTCGTCAGATGCTTTTGTCCTTCAATTTGATTGTCGCCTTTGCGTTTCGCTTTCTTCCCAAAACGATTCTTCCTTTCTGTTTTGTTTGTCTTGTTTCTATTGTTTCCCCCCCCCCCCGCTTTCATCTTGTTTTTAACGTTTTCCTTGATGTGTAAATAAACCATGTTTTCTTTTTATTTCCTTTTTTTTTTTTCTTCTCGGGTTACATTCTTTTTTTTTTTTTTTTTTTTTTTTTTTTTTCTTCAAGGTGTGTTCCATACTTGGATATATCAATGTTTTGTATAAAGATTAAAAAAAACAAACAATTCTTTCTTTTTTCTTTCTTTTTTTTAATTCTAATATACTCAATATTTACCGATATAAATTTACGATATTTTCTTTCTTTCTTTCTTTCTTTCTTTCTTTCTTTCTTTCTTCTGTTTTCCATAAATCTTAAGTTATACTTCTTTTCCCTCGCTCTCGTTTTCGATTCTTTCTTCTTTCTTTCTTTCTTTCTTTCTTCCTGTCATCCTTTCTTTCTTTCTTTCTTTCTTTCTTTCGTCCTTTCGTCCTGTCATTCTTTCTTTCTTTCTTTCTTTCTTTCTTTCTTTCTTTCTTTCTTTCTTTCTTTCTTTCTTTCTTTCGTCCTTTCGTCCTTTCGTCCTTTCGTCCTGTCATCCTTTCTTTCTTTCTTTCTTTCTTTCTTTCTTTCTTTCTTTCTTTCGTCCTTTCGTCCTGTCATCCTTTCTTTCTTTCTTTCTTTCTTTCTTTCTTTCTTTCTTTCTTTCTTTCTTTCTTTCTTTCGTCCTTTCTTTCTTTCGTCCTTTCTTTCTTTCGTCCTTTCATCCTTTCTTTCGTCCTTTCTTTCTTTCGTCCTGTCATCCTTTCGTCATTTCTCTCTTTCGTCCTGTCATCCTTTCTTTCTTTCTTTCTTTCTTTTTTTCTTTCTTTCGTCATTTCTTTCGTCCTTTCTTTCGTTCTTTCTTTGTTAACTTTTCATTTTAAATTTGTCCTTCTCTGCAATAATATATCTTTCTGATATAGTCACGATTATTTTTCATTTATTCATTCATTCATTCATTCATTCTTTTTTTTTTCTTTCTTTTCCTGCTTATGAACTTTTTAATACTAACTTTTTGGTCTATCTTTTTTCTTTATTTTCCTTTCAAATTTCAATGAAGCCTATTCGTTTGTTTATTTCTCTTTCATTTTTATTTTCCCTCCCAAAAATAATCCAAAATAGCTAAAATTAACAGAATTTTCTTCTTGTTTTTTTTTTCTGATTCACAGTTATTTTCATTCATTTCTTTCTTTCTTTCTTAATTTATCTTTCTCTTTCTGATACACTAAATATTTTTAATTTTTTTTCCAGCTATATTCACAACTGTTTTTGTTTGTTAGTTTGTTTGTTTGATTCTTTCTTTCTTTCTTTTTTCTTTTTTCTTTCTTTCGTTCTGTCTGTCTTTCTTTCCCTCAGTCTTTCTTCCTTTGTTACGAAACCTTTATTTATTTATTTTTTTCTTGGACTTCTAGATTGTCTAAATATTTTTGTTTTTTTCATTGTTCGTTTTTTTTTTTACTTTCATTGTTCTCTTTTCCTTCTTCATCTCCATTTCCTTCTCACCTTGTTTTTCAATGTTTTTTTCTGTTTTAATTCCCTTTATGTTCGTTTTATTTTTCTCTTCTTTTTTCTTCTGAAATTCTCAGTTAATTAGTGAGTAAATATTTCTTTCTATATTTATTCAACATTTCCTTCGATATATATATATATATATATATATATATATATATATATATATATATATATGTGTGTGTGTGCGTGTGTGTGTGCGTGTGTGTGTGTGTGTGTCTGTGTGTGTTCCTGCTAACATTTTTCCTCTTGTCTTGCGAACAAATATTTCTTAATCATCCTTTTTGTTTTCTTTTCACCTTCGTTTTTTTCATTTATTATTCTTTTTACTATTGGCCTACTTTCTCCATTTCTGCTTTTTTAGTCTGTTTTAGTTACAAAAAATTACGTTTTTTTATTTTTTAACTTACTTAATTTCTCTTTCTTTCTTTTTTCTTTCTTTCTTTCTTTATCTCTATTCACTTCTGTTTTCATTCATATTCTCTTCGTTTTCTTCTTTTTCTTATACATTGTCTTTACTATAACTTATACTTTTTCATGGATTTCTAAGCATTAATCTCTTTCTGTATTCTTTCATTGTTTTTCACTTGCTTTTTCTTTTCCGTTCGTTATTATATTTCTTTTTCTTTCTTCACATTGCCGACATTAATTCTGTCTTTTTTCTTTCCTATATTCTTTCATTTGTCTGTTTTTTTTTCTTCTTTTCTTTCCTTCATTCTGTTTTTCTTTCTTTCAATCTTTTGTTCATTCGTTTATTCTTTCATTTTCTTTCGTTTGTCTCTCTTTTCTCTCTCTCTCTCTCTGTTTGTTCTCTTTCATACACATCGTTCTTTCAACATTTTTCCCTTTTTATATTCTAATATATTCCTTTCATCTTCCTCTTTCATTTTTAAGACCCGTTTAACTTCTCAAAATGCGCTTGGCTTGTTTTTAAAAGTTTTTTTCTGTTCCACTTGCTTTTATTGCTTCATTTTTTTTTTCATTTCTCGCGTTTCATCTTTTTTTTTCCCGTTTATTTCAATAATTCATTCATTAATTCATTTATTCAAAAATTTCCGACTAAATTTAAATATCCAGCCTCGATTTAACATTAAACAAATGCATTAATTCCTAGTTACCGCTTTTTTCCCCAAACGACTTCTTCAACGCTAAATTGCCTCAACCAAAACATTTTTGCCTGTAATCACTACCAGATGGCGCAAATTTGTCCCCGTCACAATTCATTACCAGAGAATTTTCTTTTCATAGGGCAATATTTTTGAAAGAAATCATCTTTTTTTTTTCTGATCCTGAATATTAAAGACTTTTACGTTTTGGTTTATCCAATCAAACTTTGATCCAAGTTTCCCATTTATTTACCATTTTTTTCAGATTTCGTTGTGAAGAGGGGTAATTATCCCACTGTTGTTAATACACATATACCTCATCATAATAGGTGGAAAACAATACAGATAATAATAATAATAATAATAATAATAATAATAATAATAATAATTTCAAAAATGTTGCACATGGGAACATCAACAATCCCTGCTGCAGCTGGAGACCTCGGATTGGTTGGAAATAATTACAATAGACTAATTGAAGGGATTCCTGGTAAACCAAGCCTTACAGAAATATAAAAAAAATGTTCTCACGAGTACAGCCCACACCTTATGAAGGGCTTTGTCTATGTAAAATATGCCTTTTTTCCCCAGTGGAAAATGTCATGATGCCATTTCTAACTTTAAGTCACTGGGCGGGACCCGAAAAAAAATGAGTACACATCATAAATCAAAGGAAATAAAACAATAATAATAATAAATTTCAAGAGTGTTCTCCCCTTGTTTTGTTACTCGCCTCTTTGAGAGAGCTATATCTGTTTACTGGGACTATAAAAGCACACTATATGCGAACCTTGTATCCTCAGTTGAATAAAGCTTTCTTAAAGCCTACACCTGCTTACTCTTGTCATTACACCGTCCTGGGTAAGACGTTAAACTACGTCCAGGCCTCTGATCAAGTGGTTTTGAGGAGCGTAGAACCACCTCTTAATTGCTGGTGTTCCCAGGTCCTCCCTGACCCGGGGTGGTAGCATCTGTTAGGGTCCCAGCTATAGGCAAATAGTTAACTATTACCAGCAATACTTTTTTGAAAAAAATATTACCAGCAATACAATTTTGAAGGAAATATATTACCAGAAACAGATTTTTGACTAAACAAAATATTACCAGCAGTAGGAATTGTTGTTGGTGTTAAATAGCCCATTGAGGTTGATATGCTCTAAAACAAAATAAAACAAACCAATTTAAACCAAAGAATACATATTCTATTTATACGAATCTATCCTAAAAATGTTGTCGGCATTAAATAACCCATTGAGGTTGATATGCCGTAAAACAAAATAAACCAAATCAATTTAAACCAAAGAATACATATTCTATTCATACGAATCTATCCTAAAAATGTTGTCGGCATTAAATAACCCATTGAGGTTGATATGCCGTCATTTTGTCATTACAATAATAGTAACGTCAAATGTGGTTACAAAAAATTTCAGCAACACGAGTAATAATGAACAACTGAGAGACGTAATAATAAACAACTGATAGATTTAGAAATTATCCTGGTCGGATGTTGACAATCAAGATTATCCATTATCCTCTCTCACTATTTAACGTAATGAGAAAACTGGACGGAATATCTCATAAGCAAAACAATGGTTTATTCAACTCCAAATTCTGTCAAATAATATCGGCATGTTTGTGTGTGGATTTCATAACTTTCTCCGAACGTGGATACTTCTTTTCCTGTAGATATGAAGGAATCTTTCTTTCTCTCTATTTTAGTATCTATATCTCGCTTTCCCAGACACACACAGACACATCACACACACTCACACACACACACACACACACACACACACAGACACATCCCTCACACACACGTTAATATTTATAACGGTTTTCAACAAATTTTGCATTATTATGAAATCCAATTGTTTCCCTAATTGCCTTGGCGTTGATATTCTATGTGAGACGTAAATTCTCCGAGCCTTTTCCAGTACCCGTACCTGTAACGGCATTCACCCGGGGTGGGTTGAGACTGCTCCAATATTGGAGTTTCATGAGAATTTGGAATTCACAAGCGGTCCCCAACCCGCATGTATAGCACATGCTATCTGATTATAGTGGTGAAGGTTTCGTGCAGGACCATACACATTTTGAAGGGCCGATTACAGAGACCTGGTGCACTACGTGCCACAAAGTCCCCAAAAGGCCCTCCGCTGGTTTTGAATTCAAAGTTTTCTTTCTCCTAGACCAGTTGCCATCTAAGGCTATATAACCCAGTCTGTCCTGTTATTTACCCATAGCTGGAGGAAGAAGAAGAGGATTCACACCTTTCCCAAGGTTATTAGCACGTAAGTGAATGTAATGTATTCGACTGGAGTTCGAACTCGGCTCTCCGATTCCTCAAACCAAGCCGCTATCCATTACTCCACCGTGCCTCCTTTTCCCCTTATCATGTGTCCAGAAAATTTCATCTCTCTCTCACACTCGTTTTTTTTTTCTTTATACAATGTGACTCTATACAGATTTATATTTGTTACAGCTTTCAACAAACATTTCTCCTATGTCATTTTTTATTTTATAATTTTAAAAGATTTAGCATGTCTTGATCAGTAAAAATGCTAAAAATTAAAAAATAAAAAATTAAGGGTTTTATATCAATATTTATGTTTTATTTTATGAAATTAGATTACGCGACTAGTTTCGGCCAGCATGGCCATGATCAGGACAAACAAAATCCTGCTTGTTAGTAGCAGTCTCTCTCTCTCTCTCTATATATATATATATATATATATATATATACATATATATATATATATATATATATATACATATATATATATATATATATATATATATATATATATATATATATATATAAAAAAAAGAAGAGAAAGAGAGGTGCCGCATACATAATTTTACTACACGTGTTTCTGGTCTCGCGACCGTCTTCAAGTAAAAGCGGAGATTTCCACATATTATTAAAAATAATTAATTTTTTCTTTTGTTTTTCAATGTTAAATATTCCCGATGTGAGACATTTTCTGTGTTGGTAATCCGAATGTCTTTCTTGAACTGGCAATGAAGAGTTCTGCGCGAAGGGTCATAAAACAATTCATCATTTCTCTTGGACCAACCTTAATTATTTTTGGGGATTTAAAAGAATCTAATAAAACTCCTAAGGTAAAATAAAAAAAATTTAAAAAGAGGTTAGAAAATATAGATCTTTAAATGAATCCTGTTTTCTATGCTTACATGAAAAATTATCGTATTTTCTGATAAAACTCCTTTTTAAACCAAAGAAGTGAACTGACCTTAAATTGTAGGCATAATCTACCTTTTACCTTACAATATTTTTAAACTTTGAATTTGAAAATACTTTTTCCTATAGTAATAATCAGTAGATGAACTACAGTGTGCCTCCCATAAATAACATACATAGACTGATATATATATATATATATATATATATATATATATATATATATATATAAAGAGAGAGAGAGAGAGATAATAAACAGACATAGATAAATAGATACACAAACAGGCTTAGATAGATAGATAAAAAGACTTATATGCACAGACGAATATTATACATAATATATATATATATATATATATATATATATATATATATATATATTAAACAGAAAATGTGTGTGTATGAGTTTGTGTGTGTCTGTCTGTGCATCTGTCTGTATGCTATTTATGCATGTCCACATTTCTCGACTGATTTCGATGAACTTGTTCACATATGTTGCAAATGTACCAAGGTAGGTCATGACCACATTTTCAATCTCACGCCCTCCCCATATATATATATATATATATATATATATATATATATATATATATATATATATATAAATAATTATATATATACCCAACCATACATGCGTTCGGTCACGGGCATATATAAATTTGATAATAAATACTTAATTTTTGTCTTAACAAAGTAGTGCTTAATGTGGTATTAGGGAGCTATAAAGTATATATTAATAAATATACATATTACCTTACGTCGACAGCTTGATTCGGCATTTCATGTTAAATACAATCTCCATGTACCTCGAATGGTGATGAACTGCTCGTTAAAATCCTAACGATCACAACGAAGGATTTTCAATTGATCCCTAATCACTAGAAAGAAATCATATATTCCATTTATCTACATGTCTGCAAAACACATGCAGACCTCGTGAGACACATGTTGGTCTATAGAACTTAATCATTTCTTTATTTTACTGGGCCCTCATTTTCCGTTCGCGACGTGATAGTTCACCATATATATATATTTTTTTTTTTTTTTCATCTACAGACTTTTGAACGTATATTCATGGACGTCATCACACACACACACACACACACACACACACACACACACACACACACACACACACACACACACATATATATATATATATATATATATATATATAAACATATAATATGAGGCAGCATATATTTTATATATAAAGAAATAATCATGCATAGAATCAATCAGCAATATTAATGCGATTAATGGCGAAATCACTTCGCTAGTAGAATATAATGTGTGCATTAAAATACTGTTAATCCATTGAATATACACTAGAAACATCTGACAACAGTTTTATAAATGAAATCACATCATTGAATGATTAACAGTATTTTAATGCGCACATTATATTCTACTAGCGAAGTGATTTCGCCATTAATCGCATTAATATTGCTGATTGATTCTATGCATGATTATTTCTTTATATAAAAATAATAATTACATATATATATATATATATCTATCTATCTATATATATATATATATATATATATATATATATATATCCTGAAGTATGTGAAATCATTCTCGTACTTAGGAAGCAAAGTCAATTCAAGTGCCTCTTTGGATGACGGAATATCAAAGGCAACCATTGCCTCTGGGAAGCTTAAGCATCGCCTATGGGATGTTCATGGAATTTCACAGCGTTTATCGAGCAATCATTCTCCCCACACATCTTTATGGGTCAGAATCGTGAACGCCATACAGGACGCACATCAATCAACTTGATGCTTTTCATAAATGCTGTCTTCGTTCAATATGCAGTTATACACGTCAGGACAAAATCTCTAACCCTGATCTTTTCATCAAATATGGTGACGGTGGTATTGAATCCTTTCTGATGCAATCATAGTTCAGATGGTCTGGTCATGTCATCAGCTATTTCATCGTAAGTGTAACATAGGCCGTCCTTGGTTACGCTTCACGGATAACCTTAAATACAATTTAATTGATGTAAACATTCCTATGGAAGAGTTCGAAATTGCTGTTGAAAACCGACCAAACGGGAGAAGTTCCTGCTACGGTGGTATAACTAACTTTGAAAAGAATCGTGTCAATCATCTGAAAGAATTAAGAATTAACACTAAATCTCGGCCTTAATACATCAACCCTTGTGACGGTCAACCCTTCAGTATGTTCTTCGTGTGGATTTGTTTGCAAATCCACTGCTGGTTTGTTGTCTCATACGAAACATAAAAATAAAAACTGAACTGAAAGACACTCATACGTCGGGAGAGTCCATTATCATCATATTCTGTTTATACTTTATTTTTATGTGAGTAAATGCTCAATTTTAATTAAACATAAGTAATTACATTTTCAGGCTTGAATGTTAAAGAAATTCCGCAGAAAATATGCGTTCTGTGACAGAAATCGAACCTGTATTGAATCAGGAATCCTTCATTTGACTTGACGTGTCGATAACCATTCAGCCGCAGAGAACTTTCCCAAGTCGAAATTACTGTTTATAAACAGCATTAATTATATTTACCGTCTTGAATGTTCGATTCCTGTCGGGGGACGCATAATTTCTCAGAAATTTTCCAAATATTCAGGGCGGTAAATGTAATTAATGTTGTTTAATTAAAATAAGTTGTATCCATAAAATGACCTTTAAACAGAAAATATTCAAATACTTGTCGGATTTAATCCATTCCATCTAATATGTGGTCATTGTTGGCGTTAGGTAACGCTACGGAGCAGATAAGAAGTATCGAAAATGATCGTCGAAGATGTATTTTTCCACGCAGTAATTGGGACTTTGCTATCCTGAAAGTTCTCTGAATGGTTAACAGCACGTCAGGCTGAATAACGGTTTCTTTATGCGATACAGGATCGATTCTCGCATATTCTCTACGAATTTTCTCGAACATACGGGACGATAAATGTAATTAATTCTTTTTAATTAAAACAGAGAATTTACTCAAAATAGTTGTCTCCTTAAAAAACGTATAAACAAAAATACATTAAACTAAAATATATATTTGTCAGATTTAATTCATTTCATCTAATATATATATATATATATGTGTGTGTGTGTGTGTGTGTGTGTGTGTGTGTGTGTGTGTGTGCGTTATCTGCTCTACAGGCATGTGAATAAACGTTGATAGATGCCAGTCTATATTTAAAACTATAAACGTCGGTAGGAACCCAAAGCCAAGTACTCAGGTGGCGTAGATGAGTAAGTTATGCCTGCAATTTTAGGCTGTTTTTTTTTTATTCATTCCTTTCGCAAAAGCTTTCTTAGAAATGTGATATTCGTGTGAATCGTCAGTCTTTTTTTTTTCCAGCTATCCGCACACCATCAACCGTTTCGTCTTCATTCGACGCTTGTCTATTTCTACTTTCCGTCCATTGGAATTTGTTTCTTTGACTGGGATTTATTTGGCTTTTATGTCTTGTTTTTTTTTTTTTTTTTTTTTCATTTCTTGACAGGGGGGAATATTTTTGTATCTAATCTTCCGTTTTCTCGGGTTTTTTTTCTTGTTTATCTTTTTTAGTTATCGTTAGGATTTTCTTTATTTTAGTTTATAAGGTTTTCTATTTTATTTATTTATCTTGTCTTATTTTAATTTTTTTTTACATTTCTTTATTGTTTTATTTCTGTTTTTTTTTTTCATATATTTTTTCATTCCTTTGCGAATTTTGTCCCTTTTAAGGACACTTTTCTACTTGGCATCGTCATCTTCTAGGCTTATTCAGTTCCTTTCTTTCTCATGATTTTTCTATCATATATTCGTTTTATTACTCGATTTTAGCACATTGAAAACTTCCATCTCTTCTTTTTTTTTCCGCTTTTTCCCTCTTTTTTGTCTTGCTTACTCTTTTTTTTATATTCTTCTTCACTGTTTATACACTTTCTTTCTTTCTTTCTCTCTTTCTTTCTTTCTTTCTCTCTTTCTTTCTTTCTTTCTTTCTCTCTTTCTTTCTCTCTTTCTTTCTCTCTTTCTTTCTTTCTCTCTTTCTTTCTCTCTTTCTTTCTTTCTTTCTTTCTTTCTCTCTTTCTTTCTCTCTTTCTCTCTTTCTTTCTTTTTTTCTTTCTTCTTTTTACTGGTTTCTTTCTTTTAATTCATCCACAATTTCTTCCCTACATTTTAATATCGTCTGGCAATTTTTATTTTGCAGCTTCTTGTCATTTACGATTTTTTTTTCATTCTTTTAAATGCCTATTTTCACGTTTTTTGGTTATTCATTTATTTTTCATATGTTTCCTCTTTAGTTTTGTTTGTTTAATTTATTTTCCTTTTATATTTTCTTCCTTTCTTTCGTCATTGTTCATTAATTTACATTTTTTATGCTTGTTATTTTTTTTACTGGAATTATGCCATTTTTTCTTCAGGTTTTATGCCCAAATAGATTAATTTATCTTTCATTTGATGGATTTCTTTATCATTTTCATATTAGCCATGTCTATTTGCGTCCTTATTTCCCCTTCATGTTTAATATATTTCCTTTAGCACACATTTTATTTCCCTATTTTTTTTTTAATTCAATTAATTTTTTGTCAGTTCTTTCCATTGTTTTTGTTTTAATGAAATTTGATTTAGGATATTTTACTTTATTTAAAGTTTTCTATACCGACTTAAATAATAATATCTATTTATCTCTGTATCTATTTCTTCTTAATTCTATCGATCTGTTCTTAATTCTGTCCATCTATCTATCTATCTATCTATCTATTCCTAATTCTATCTATCGATCTATCTATCTATTATTAATTTTTTCTATCTATTATTAAATTTCTCTATCTTTTATTAATGTTATCTATCGATCTATTCCTAATTTTATATATATATATATTTCTCTCTGTCTATTCTTAATTTTATCTATCTATCTATCTATCTATCTATCTATCTATCTATCTATCTATCTCTAATTCTATATATATCTTTCTCTCTGTCTCTTCTTAATTCTATCTATCTATCTATCTATCTATCTATCTAGGTAACGTTAACTCTATATATCTATTCTAAATTATATCTATCTATCTATCTATCTATCTATCTATCTATCTATCGATCTATCTATTCCTAATTCTATATATATCTTTATCTCTGTCTCTTCTTCTATCTATCTAGCAAGCTAGCTAGCTAGTTAGCTAGCTAGCTAGCTAGGTAACGTTAACTCTATATATCTGTTCTTAATTTTATCCATCTATCTATCTATCTATCTATCTATCTATCTATCTATCTATCTATCTATTCTTAATTCTATCTATCTATCTATCTATCTATCTATTCTTAACTCTATCTATCTATTCCTAATTCTATATATATCTTTATCTCTGTCTCTTCTTAATTCTATCTATCTAGCTAGCTAGGTAACGGTAACTCTGTATATCTGTTCTTAATTTTATCTATCTATCTATCTATCTATCTATCTATCTATTCTTAATTCTATATATATCTTTCTCTCTGTTTCTTCTTAATTCTATCTAGCTAGCTAGGTAATGTTAACTGTATATATCTATTCTAAATTATATCTATCTATTCTCAATTCTCTATTCTAGCTATTCTTTGTTTTTATTTATCATTTCACCCCAATCAAAGTAGGAATGCTAAAAAATCCTAAGCAAGAGGGTGGGTTTGGTGGGGGGGTACAGAGAGTGAAGGCGAGCGAAAAGATCGGGTATAAAAGTGCCGATGAAAGGATAAAAGCTGAGCGGGATACAAGAATATAGGAGATGTCGATTTACGTTGCATTTAAATTTTTGAAGATTGTAGAAAGGAATTCCACAAGCAGTAAGTGCAAGAAAAGAAACTTCTGGAGTAGAAGTGGCTGTGACAGCTTTTTAATTCAAAAGTAAAACGGTCAGACCGAGATGCCAATCTTGTAGCACACTTAAGCTCAGATAGTCCGTGCACTAGGGGAAAAAAGCACGTCAGACTAGTAGCCCTGGACGTATTTGTAGAAATGACAGGGGAATGGAAAGTCATGTCGGTGAGAAAGTGACGGAATTCAAGATTCCAAATCAGGATTGAGTTCGTTAAAAAACCTTTTGGGATTTTGTCAAGACCTCGGGATGAGTAGCAGCAGCAGCAGCATCATACCAGATATGGCATCAATACTGAATGATCGAATAGTAGATTTGTAAATGGGCAAGATTGTCTGTAATGAGAAAAAGAAACCTTTTGGCACGACACAGTGACCATACTTCTTTACAGTAGATGAAGCTATTAATTCAGTGTAGCCATTCCATCTTAGAGTCAGTGAAAAACGTGAGACCATGAAGTCACAGTGTGACGCTCTCCAAGAGTCGAAGATCAGCCATGTTGATGTTGGGCAGGAAAGATTCGCTATGTTGATTCAATGAGAACCGTTTCGTTTTAGAGGTATTAAAATTTACGAGATAATTCCTCCCGAAGTTAACCATTGAGCGATGGTCCTTTTCAAGAGCAGCGGCCAGGGTAATTTGGTCAAACCTGGCGGATTAGCTATTGAGACAAGAGTAAATGGTTGTGTCATCTGCATAAATGCTTACTTTGGGAACTGATGACATCAGAAAGAACATTGATGAAGATCAGAAACAGCTTAGGGCCTAGAATGAAGCGTCGGGACAAACCCGCTTTTGTGTGAAAGAATCTGGAAGCGAGCCCGTTCAAAACGACGTACATTTCAGAATTTGATAGGAACATTTGAATTAAATCAAAGAAACGCCCAGTAATGTCGTAGCCCTGGAACTTACGTCGAAGATCAGCGTGCCAAATCCTGACAAACGCCTTTGAGATATCTAGAGCCATCAGGTATGTGGTGCAGTTCAATTTACGTTACATGAATCATTAAAATAAAACAAATCTATTTCCATACTTGATGATGTTTGTAGGAACAGATGAAATCTTGTAAAAAAACTAAAAAAAGACCTTATGCAACTGGAATTTATAAACAGGGATCATAACATTCATCTGCAGGTTCGAGGTTAATGTACTTTATTAAATTTGTTTGCGAGATATATTCCCGCCATTTAAATCGTTAACTTCCATATCTGTGTTTTTGTGTGAATGATTCATGTAATATATATAGTCGACTATCCCGTCGAGTTCGACGTATGAGGGTCAAGCAGATCAGTTCCTAGGAAACCGACACCCCGACACCAGCACATGAGATTTGATTATAGTGGTGAAGGTTTCGTGCAGGACCAGCCAGACTTTTTGAAGGACCGAATACAGAGACCTGGTTCACTAAGTGCCACAAGCTCCCCAAACGACCCTCCGCAAATTTTGAATTCAGATTTGTACTTCTCCTAGACCAGTTGCCATCCAAGGCTATAGAACCCAGGCTGTCCTGCTATTTTACCCATAGAGAAGAGGATTCACACGTAAGTGAATGTCATGGATTCGAGTGGAATTCGAACTCGGCTCTGCGATTCCTCAATCCAACCGCTACCTGTTACTCCATCGTGCCTCTTTTTTATTTATTTATTTATATATTTATATATATATATATATATATATATATATATATATATATATATATATATATATATATATATATATATATATATATATATATTCGTTATTCTATCTAACTATCTGGCGGGCTATCTATCTATCTATCTACCTATTGATAGTTTTATCTATCTATTTATCTATCTATTCTTTATTCAATCTCTCTCTGTTTTGAATGTCTCTCTCTCTCTCTCTATCTATCTCTTCTCCCTCTCTCTCTCTCTCTCTCTCTATATATATATATATATATATATATATATATATATATAGACACACACACACACACACACATATATATATATATATATATATATATTTAGTTATAGATGTGAGTTTGTGACACTGGGTTTCACGCTTTAGCGATTAGCGGTCGTCAGACAAATTCTGACGATCGCTAAAGCGTGAAACCCAGGGTCACAAACTCACATCTATCCAACCAAATATGTTAGCTCTATCTCTGATATTGAGCGCTTTCTAATAAGTACCAAGTATATAATATATAAATAATTATACATATATATATATTTATTTATATTTATATACACTTTTCGCATATATATATATATATATATATATATATATATATATATATATATATATATATATATATCCACACACACATAAGGTATAAGATTTAAGTAACTGCAGATATTTTTATATATAGTGCTCAATATGAAAAATATTAAAATAGTATTAAAAAATAGAGCGTTAAGAACATTATATGAAAAGATTACTTTCAAATATCAATTTTATCCCGAATTCGAAGTTTTTCGGTAAAATTTCCAGTCTTCAGGCTGTTCTGGTTTTAAAAGATATTTCCAAATATTTTCAATTTATTTTCAAATGGAAGAAAGTGAATAAAATTGGAAATATCTTTTAAAATCTGAAAACTGGAAATTTTACCAAGAAGCTTTGAAGTCGGGATAAAATTGATATTTAAAAGTTAAGTAATCTTTACATACAAGATTATATATATATATATATATATATATATATATATATATATATATATATATATATATATATATATATATAGGTCTGTTCATTTCTGTCTTACTCTGTTCATCACGATACTTGTGTAATTTTCCAGATACACGTGCGTTCTTATAGATACATAATCTCACTAAAATATTATTTAACATGTAGTAATTTATATCTTCTCCCCATATCATATGAAAGTATATACTTCACTTAAAATCCGTCGCAAAATAATCCTATAGATTAAATTATTTGCGAGAAGGATCAAATGTCATTGACCTGTTATTTTGCTGCTATATACAATCTGCGTGACTTGTATTTCTGACACACTGCCGGACTAAATTTAACTGCATTTATTTTAATAAAAACTGATTAATTCATTAATTTATTTATTGTTCTTTTCCCCTCTTCTATCTAAAGTCTATTCGTTATCTTCCTCTTCCTGTAATGCTCTGCGTTCTAGTCGTATTATCGCCTTTTTTTGGGGGAAATGATTAAAATTAATTTGGTCGAATTATATTTGATACATATGCCTTCAATTTAAATTCGTCTGTTTTAATCCTTCTGAAGAAAAAGTTCAGAATAATATGTATAAGAATAAATACATATTTTAGCAATCATACGCATCTGTCTATCTGTCTATCTCTCTCTCTCTCTCTCTCTCTATATATATATATATATATATATATATATATATATATATATATATATATATAAATATATGGATATAGATCCCGGCAGTATGAAGAAAAATATACAGGAAAAACAACAAAAATCCTAATATGCGATTATGCTGTTTTAATGTCAACGTCGGACGTTTCCGGTCTAATAGACCATCTTCAGGATATATTCATAAAAACATAATTAACATAAACCATATACAATTCAACATGAAAAAGACGATGGGCATAAAAGCAATACCAATACAAACATATATATATATGTGAAAATTGTGTGTATATATATATATATATATATATATATATATATATATATATATATATATATATATATATATTATTTATATATTATATGCGCGGTACTTATTAGAAAGCACTCAATATCAGCGATAGAGCTAACATATTTGGTTTGATTGATGCGAGTTTGTGAACCTGGATTTCATGCTTTTGCGATTGTCTGACGATCGCAAAAGCTTGAAACCCAGGGTCACAAACTCACATCAATCCAACCATATATATATATATATATATATATATATATATATATATATATATATATAATTTAATGGTTTTATATTTAATCCGGCCTTCTTTCTTTCTATGTGCCGTTTCCTTTCAAGACGTAGGCGATCAATGGCTCTCCACCTCCCTCTGTCTTTTGCAGCTTGCAACAAGTTCCTTCCCTCTGCCACCTCTCTCAGACCACGTTCTATCATTCTTTTGCTTAATACTGCTAGGTATCTCATACGTTTTTTTCCCTTGTCTCTCTTTCGGTTTATTCGACCAGTGAGTATCAAATTCTCCAATCCCTCCTTCCTCGTTATGAATCCCAGGAACTTCAGCTACCTCTTCTTGATGTTAAGTATAAGACTCCTCCTTGTTTGCAACCTCTCTAAGGCCTCATCGTTGTTCACTCGCTCGGTCCATGTTGTCTTTGATATCCTTCTGTCGAACCACATCTCCGTCGCCTCGAGTCTGTTCTTCATCTGTGAGTAAGTTGCCCAGCATTCGCTGTCGTAAAGAAGGATAGATGTCACGTAACAGCACAGTATATTTTTCTTCGTTACCAAAGAAATTGGAAACAGCTGTTTAAATGGACGACACGTATTTAAATTAAACATTGTGCATTACCCCTCTCCGTTGGCGCACCCGAGCAACCTTAAATAAAATTTAGAATCCACTAAGCTACGTTCTCCCTTTGTACGATAATCAAATGT